AACCAAGGAAGTGAAAGATCTCTACAAAGAGAACTGTAAGACACTGATGAAAGAAATCATAGATGACACAAATGGCAAAACATTCCATGCTCATGGATTAGAAGAATCGATATCATTAAAATGACCACATTACCCAAAGCAATCTACAGATTCAATGCAATTCCCATCAAATTACCAATGTCATTTTCCACAAAACCAGAAATAAAAAATCTAAAATTCATATGGAACCAAAAAAAGAGCCTGAATAGCCAAAGCAAACCAAAGCAAAAAGAACAAACTTAGAAGCATCACATTACCTGACTTCAAACCATACTACAAGGCTATAGTAACCAAAACATCATAGTACTAGTATAAAAATAGACACACAGATCAATGGAACAGGACAGAGAACCCAGAAATAAAGTCACACAGCTACAACTAACTGATCTTCAACAACGTCAACAAAAATAAACAATGGGGAAAGAACATCCTAGTCAATAAATGGCGCAAGGAAAACTGGCTAGCCATTTATGGATGAACAAAACTGGACCCCTACCTCTTACCATTTACAAAATTAGCTCAAGATTAAAGACTTAGTGTAAGACCTCAAAGTATAAAAACTCTAGAAGAAAACCCAGAAAAAAACCCTTCTGGGCATTGGCCTCAGCAAAGAATTTATGACTAAGACCTCAAAAACAACTGCGACAAAAATTGACAAATGGGACTTAAACTAAACAGCTTCTGCACAGCAAAAGAAACAACACAATAAACAGACAACCTACAGAATGAGAGAAAGTATTTGCAAACTATGCATCCAACAAAAGATTAATATCCAGAATCTATAAGGAACTTAAAACAAATGAACAAGAAAAAACCCCATTAAAAAGTGAGCAAAGGATATGAATAGACTCTTCTCAAATGAAGACATACGAGCAGCCAACAAAGATGAAAAAAATGCTCAACATCACTAATAATCAGAGCAATGCAAATTAAAACCACAATGAGATACACACAATCGCATGCCAGTCAGAGGTGAAAAATGATACAGGAACAAAATGATAACATCAATACCGTTACCATTTATATCTACCAGTGGTAGATATAAAACAGAAAGGAACCAATAAGAAATTCTGGAGATTAAAAGTCTAATAACTGAAATGAATAATTCACTGGAGGAGTTCCAAAGTACATTTGAGGAGAAGAAAGAATCAACATGATTGAAGATAAAACAATTTAAATTATCAAAATTAACAAATGTTTACCTAGATTGACTAAGAAAAAAAAAGATTCAAGTTACTAAAACTATAATGAAGTGGGACTATTACTATGAATCTTACAGAAATAAAAAGGATTATAAGAGAGTGCTATGAACAACGTATGCTAACAAACTGGATAACCTAGCTGAAGTGGACAAATTCCCACAAACACAAAACATACCAAGACTGAATCCTGAAGAAATGGGAAATTGAATTAGTAATAAAAAACCTCAAGATGAAAAACCCTGGACTTGATTGCTTCACTGGTGAATTCTACCAAACATTTAAAAAAGAACCAACATCAACCATTCTGAAATTCTTTTAAAAAAGAAAATGAAGAGGAAAGAATAAATCCTAACTCATTCTATAAGCCAGCATTACTCTGATACCAAAGCCAAAGGTATACAAGAAAAGGAAACTACAGACCAATACTCCTTAAGAATACTAATGCAAAAATCCTCAACAAAATACTGGCAAACTAAATTCTGCAGCATGTTAAAAATATTATACACAATTTCCAAGTGGAATTTATTCCTGGAATGCAAGAATGGCTCAAAATATGAAAATCTGTCAATGTAATAATATACCAGATTGGTAGAACGAAAGGAAAAAAACACATGGTCATCCTAATTCAAGCAGAAAAATTATTTTAAAAAATTCAACATCCTTTCATGATAAAAACATTAAAACTAGAAGTAGAAGGGAACAATATCAACATAATAAAAATTCATAGTTGACATTATACTCAATGTTGAAGGACTGAAAGCTTTTCCTGTAAGATCAGGATCAAGAGAAGGAACAAGACAAGGATGCCTGCTCTTTCCACTTCGACTCAACACAGTACTGGATGGTCTAGCCAGAGCAATTAGGCAAGGAAAAGAAATAAAAGGCATTCAAATTGGAATGAATGAAGTAAAATGATCTCTATTCATAAATGATATGATCTTATATGCAGAAAATCCTGAAAGTTCCACACAAAAAACTATCAGGATAAAGGAACTCAGCAAAGTACGATACTAAATCAACACACAAGTCAGTTGTTTCTATGTACTACCAATAAATAATTCAAAAAAGCAATTAAGAAAACAATTTCATATGTGATAGCAACAAAAAAAAATACTTGGGAATTAACAAAGATGATGAAAGACTCACACAATGAAAACTACAAAACAATATTCAAAGAAATTAAAGAAGACATCAATAAACAGAAAAAGCACTCCATGTTAATGGATTGGAATACTTAACATTGTTATCTGTAATAAGCAAAATGACCACAGATTCAATTTAATCCCAATCGAAATCCCAATGACGTTCTTTGCAAACAACAGAAAATACATCTTAAAATTCATATGAAATCTCAAATGACCTTCAACAGCCAAAACAATCTTGACAAGAAAAACTCTTAGAAGAAAACACAAGGGAAAATCCTCACACTCACTAGAGTAGCTATAATAAAAAACAAGAAAATAGCAAGCATTGGTGAGGATAGGAAGAAATTAGAACCTTTATACAATACTGATGGGAAAGTAAAATGATACAGTCACTATGGAAAACAGTATGGTGTTTCCAGAAAGAATAAAACACAGAATTACCATATGATCCAATAATTCTACAGCTGGGTATATACCCAAAGGAACTGAAAGCAAGGTGCCAAAAAGATACTTGTCACTCATGTTCCTAGCAGCATTATTTAGAACAGCCAAAAAGTGGAAGCAACTCAAGTGTCCATCAACAGATGAATAAACAAAATATGGTACATACTTACAACAGAACATTCAGCTTTTCAAAGAAAGAAAATTCTGACACATGCTACAACATAAACTTTGAAAATATTATGGTAAATGAAATAAGCTGGTCACACACAAAAGTACTTTATATGATGTTCCTAGAATAGTCAAATTCACAGAGAAAGAAAATAGAATGATGGTTGCCTGGGATGGAGAGGAGGGAGTAGAAATGAGAGTTGTTGGTTAATAGGTACAGAGTTTCCATTTTGCAAGACGGAAAGAGTTTTTGGGATTGGATGCACAACCATGTGAATGTACTCAGCACTACTCAATTTAAGAATGGTTAAGACAAATTTTATGTTATGTATACTGCATTTTTAAAATTAATAGGATTTAAATATTTGCTGTTTAAAATGGTCTTTCCCACATTCAATTTTTGTTCCAACGGGAAAAGACTGTTTCAGTGCAATGTACGGACCCATTATTGAAACCCTCCTATAGATGTAAATTTTCCACATTGACTCCCAAAATGCAACGCCATCCCCAAAAAAATACCACACAAAAAATCGATAGCTCTAACATAAATTTTTCAGTAAAATGAAGCTATTTCAACTAAGTTTCTAGAGAGAAAATAAAGATAAAATGTAAATAGTAAACAATACGTTACTGATTAATTTGTACTACACTGCCTTTCATGTTCATTTCTGTTCTTCACGCAACAAAACAAAGGAAGAAAATATCATATTAAGTACTTTTCACTTCAGAGAAGGAAAATCTCTAGATTTAGCAACCATAAAAAGAAACCCAATGAAGAACCAGAAAGGAGAAAGGAAAATGTAGGTATTAGAGATTGTGTCATAACAAATACAGATAAGGAAAAGCAGTACACCCTCTCCCACATACATCTTTACCACACACATCTGTCAAATGGCACATTAGTAAGCACAGAACTATGTATAACGACATACTTTAACCATATACTGTATTTATTTATTTAGTTATTTAGTTATTGAGATGGAGTTTCGCTCTTGTTGCCCAGGCTGGAGAATAATGGCACGATCTTAGCTCACCACAACCTCTGCCGAGATGACGCCATGGCACTCCAGTGATTCTCCTGCCTCAGCCCCCTGAGTAGCTAGGATTACAGGCACGCACCACCAGGCCCAGCTAATTTTTGTATCTTTAGTAAGAGATAGGGTTTCACTATGTTGGCCAGGCTGGTCTCAAACTCCTGACCTCAAGTGATCTGCCTGCCTCAACTTCCCAAAGCGCTGGGATTACAGGCATGAGCAACTGTGACCTCATTGTAGTTTTGATTTGCATTTCCCTGAAGACTAACAATGTTGAGCATCTTTCCATGTGCTTATTGGTCATTTGTATATCTTCTTTTGAGAAATGTCTATTCAAATTTTTGTCTATTTCTTCATGGGGTTATTTGTCTTTTTATTAAGTTATCAAAGTTCTTTATATATTCTGGATACATGTCATTCCTCATATATATGATCTGCAAATATTTTCTCACATTCTATGTTTTGTCACTTCACTATCTTGATGGCATTGATGCACAAAAGTATTTAATTTTGACCAAGTCCATTGTGTCTAATTTTTATCTTCTTTGTGCTTTTGATGTTATATCTAAAAAGACCACATATTTTAATATTAACCTCCACGTCAATGAAAGAATGGACTGGAAAAAGAAATGACATTAAGAATCAAAGTGAAAAAACAAAATTATCAGGGCCTCAAATCCAGAATCATTTTTCTTGTAACAAAGAAGCGATACATATTATCAATAAACATAGTAAAGTATTGACTTGTAAATACCATACTGATCTGTCTGCCCAAAGTTTGAATGGACTTTGTACTAATGAGTGAAAAGTGAAAGCTTTCAAGGAAAATAATACACAAATAATTTCCAATCACTGCATTAAGGTAAAATTTAGCTATTTTAAGGTTTTTAACCTATAAAAGTAAAAGATATTTTTGGTCAGTAAAACAGTCAGAAGTATAACCTTCCTCTACAAATGAAAACACTTACCTGCTAAGTAATTCTAATCCAGCAGAGTACTTTGGCAAAAATGGAACAGTCCTGCCCAAAAGAAACACTTATTAAAACTGTTCTTGATTTAGCCAACTGAAAAAAAAAAAAAAGGTACATACAAGAATTTTGACATTGTCAATTGTAATATATTTTAAAATCACTAATGACAATTATTAAACTTTTAGAGAAATGTGTTTTATTTCAGAGTTAACGTACTGTAACACACTATCAACCATCATTTTGCCCCAGAGATTGTCTTCAGCATACAATACAATAAATGATTTAATATAATGTTGGATAAGAACAAATACATAAGATCAAAGTTCATCTCTAGGCTGAAAATGAAATCTGGTCACACACTTTACTTTATTTAAAAAATGGACAAACAGCACAATCCTGGTGTTTTCATATAAAACAGGTAACACAGTTAAAGAGGCTCATTTGCCAAGTAGTATTTCATTATTAATTTCCTTTTCAATAATTCAGGACTTTTAATTTTGCTCTTACACAAATTAAAAATGACTAATTTTCATCAAATAATAATCACTGATTGTCAGAGTAAAACAATTATACTTTATCATTTTTTCAACCATTTCACAATTTTACTGGAAAATTTTCCGTTACAAAATTTAGAAAGAACCAATAAATTATTTTGTAGTCAGATGCACTCAACAAATCTAAGGTTCATTAATATAATTACACAATTACGAACACAACCAAACGTATGAAATTTAAGTCACAGTAACTTAAAATCTTAGCACAAGCTTACCTGGGTTTGCTTTTCACTTTTGCTTCTCTTGACTTGTCACTTAAAGTCTTCAGCCTATAATTCAATATAAAATATAATATTTTTACAAGTCAAGAGATGATGATGATGATGATTATTATTATTATTATTATTATTAGAGACAAGGTCTCACTCTGTTGCCCAGGCTGGAGTGCAGTGACATGTACATGACTCACTGCAGCCTCAACCTCCTGGGCCCAAGTGATCCTCCCACCTCATCCTCCTGAGTAGCTGGGACTATAGTCACCTGCCACCACGTCTGGGTAATTTCTTTTTTTATTTAGTGAAGATAGAGTCTTGCTATGTTGCCCAAGCTGGTCTCAAACCCCTTGCCTCAAATGATCCTCCTGCCTCAGCCTCCCAAAATGCTGGGATTACAGGCATGAGCCACCTCACCCAGCCCAGAGATTTTTCAACCACAAATTTTCACACGTTAAAATTTTAGGTCAGATAAGCTATTTTTTTTTTAAGCAAGAATTAAGTACCTCAAAAGACAACAAATATTTGAGTGTTTACTATATGTTAGATACCACAAATGGAAAATCTGTAGCATATATATATCTTTTTTAAGAGATGGTCTCACTCTGTTGCCCAGGCTAGAATATAGCGGTGCAATTATAGCTTACTATAACCTCAAACTTTTGGGCTCAAGTAATCCTCCCACCTCAGCCTCCTGGGTAACAAGGACTACAGGTATGTGCCACCATGCCCAGCTATTTGTTTCACTTTTATTTTGGTCTCACTATGCTGCCCAGTCTGTTCTCTTAACTCCTGTCCTCAAGTGATCTTCCCACCTCAGCCCCCGCAAAGAGCTGGGATTACAGGTGTGCACTACCACGCCAGGCCTTATTTTCATATTCTTACTTACCTCAAGTCCCTTTTTTAGAAACAAAGATTCCTAAATGTGATCAGACCACAGAAACATAATTTATCTGGCATCTTTAGAAAAAGTAATGTTCCACATAGGAGAAATCGATAGGTAACAAAGATATCTAAGCAGCACACTTCATTAAGTAGATGCTACCCAGGCATTCAAATCTCTTTAAGCACCCACAGTATTTGAAATTTTAGTGGAGAAAAAGCTTTTTAAAATATATCACACTTCTTTCATTAAAGAGGATTTGGCATATCTCATTTAACATTTCGGGATAACTCAGGATCAATATTAAGAACATCATTGACTACATTTCGCAGCAAAACAGTACTCTCCCCTGATACTTCTGAGCTAGAAATGCATCTTCGTTTATTAAGCTGAAACCAGTCTATGGTAGCTTTGTGTCTGTTTGGGCTCTTATGCTTACCTTTCCTAAATTTTCTTTCTCTACCATTGGCCACCTGGCTGTCAGCTCTCACTCACTGCTTCTGCTAGCTATTTAACTCTAGCAGTCTCCTCCCCTCTACTTGCTGCTTTTAAATGATTACACTGGAAAACAGATAAATGGGCTAGAGCTGCATATATAGAATTAACATATTTTAAATGTAAAATATGATGTTCATAAACTATACATTTATTTTCACTTCACTGGTCCAGTTTTACTTTATTTTGGCTGTGGACTCTGTTACAGATAACTGAGGTTGCCAATAAGTGAGAGCTATAGTATGTGGTAATATGTAAAATGAGGTATCATGTACACATTCTTCTCAATCACTTCAACAAATATTCATTTGTAAATAGAAACTGAAAATATAGGCCATAGTACTACTGCTAGCCCCTACAAAGTCTTTGTAAAAACAGAAATAGGTGTTCCTTCCTCCAGACACTTTACTACCATCAGCCAGAAACTGTCCTAATATACAAGTTGACTCTTGCACGAATAACTCAACTATGCATTGTACAGTGTACAACCTGCACAATTATGCATGCTGGTTCTGAAACAGGATTCCATCTTTTCTGTCTATAATGTCTGATTAAGCACCACATGTGGACTTCTGATAAACTGCATTTTTTTAAACCAAAAACTAGAAGGCCAAGGTCATACAAAGAGTTTCATATTACTCTATGATCTTTTTCAAAAAATGAAATATTGACAAGATCAATTCCTCTGCAACATTCAAAAGATTAAACAATCTCTTTAATACAAAAGTAATTTGCATATCTTTCTAGATAAGTCTAGGATATTATGTAAAAGTCTAACATAAATTTCTAAGCTTATCTTGGAAACCAGTAAATCTGATTTAAACCAAGATTAAGCAAAAGCTAAGGAAAACAATTTTTATGGCCATGCTCTACCATTTGCACTATAAAATTTGATCAAAATACTTAGAACATCTCAGGCAAAATTATCCTAGTTATATACAGCAGTACATCATACTCAAAATGATTCTCGCATTACTTTTAGTGATTCAGGACAATTCTATACAGTTGAGGGTGAAAGGGAATTCCTAAGATCCTCTTTGGACTACTCTAATTATATGATCTAGCAAATCTCTAAGTTGGTATTTCAACTATTTATTTCTAAAACAAACTTTTAATTTCTTAATTGTAATATGCCAAGTTTGGGATTCTCTTCTCTGTCCCCCCATCTCCTCCCCACCACCCACAAAAAGAAAAGACTAGTTTGAATTGAAAGGGGAAAAAGGAGTGTTACAGGAAACAGAAAGTAAAATTGTTGGAAGATTCAATAAAAGCTTTCCCATGTGGTTCTTTAACAGTCATGTTTTAAAAATTGGTCTTTAACCAAATTTAATGTGTGAAACTTATCTGATCTGGATTTGAACAAACCAACTGTAAAAAGTCATTTCTAAGAAGAAGACATCTGATTATGGACTGCATAATCGATAATATCAAAGAATTCGTGTTAATTTTATTAGCTATGATATCGGCATTGCGTTTATGTAATGTGTTTCTTTTAGTGATGCAAGCTGACATATCACAGGTATAGTAGGCAAGTCTGACATTTACATTACAAATAAAGCGAGAGACAAGGCAAACATGGGAATATCTGAAAATTATTGAATCTGAGTTACTGATATATGTGGTTCATTGTGTTATTCTATGTGTCTGTGTGTGTTTGAAACTTTGTAAAAAACAATTTTTTTTGAGACAGGGTCTTGCTGCGTCACCTAGACTGGAGTGCAATGGAGCAATCATAGCTCACTGCAGTCTCAAGCTCCTGGCCTCAAGCGATCCTCCCACCTTAGCCTCTCGAATAGCTGGGACTACAGGCTCACACCACCACACTCAGCTAGCTTTTAAAAATCCTTTGTAGAGACAGGGGTCTCTCTATGTTGCCCAGGCTGGTCTTGAACTCTTGGGCTCAAGCTATCCTCCCACCTCAGCCTCCCCAAGTGCTGGGATTTGAAGCATGAACCACCATACCCAGCCAAAAAACATTTTTAATAACAAAAACAATCTTTTAGATATTCATCTTTTCTCACTACATCTTCTCCAAATAAATTGCCAATGTGCCAAAATGCAGAAAAGAAACTGTTGAAGAAAACAAAGTAGCCGTAGGAAAGCTGGAAATAGTCATCTTTTTCCCTGCTAAAAAACAAACAAAGTAAAAAACAAAGTAGCTATAGGAAAGTAAAACAAAGTTAAAAAAAAAAAAAAGTAAAAAAAAAAAGCAGCTATAGGAAAGTTGAAAATAGTCATCTTTTTGCCTGCTAAACTTTCTTGTTTCCAACTATTGAGATGAAAAATATAAAAGATCAGATATACTTAAAGGAAGTAACAAAAAACCAAAAAGGTATTTTCTGAAATAACATCCTCAAAACCCAGAATTCACCTGAGATTAGCCCACTATTTTTATTCTGGGCTAACTCCAGTTCCTCTGGAGAACTTATTCTGTCCTGGAAACAACCCACTCATAAAGTCTGTTTAATGTCCCACAATATCATGACATGCTGTGAAGGGAATATTGATCCAGGGGGAATATTCCAGTTTCCTCAAATGTAAAATGGTAGTATTATATTCAACCATAAAGATGTGCCAAAATAATTCAACAACATTCCAAATGTGACCTTGGTGGCATTCTGGAAACTATAGAGCTAATTTCAAATGAAAGTTATAATAAAGGTGATCCCCATCAAGAAAGTTGAAAAACCAGTGTACTACATTACTGGGCTAAGGTGAAATAAAGTAGAGGTTCCCAATGTGCCTACAAAAGGCTTGCCCAGCCCTATTCTTGGTCTTCTCCCAAGTACCATACACTCATGAACACATAAGTGCTGTGTGAGCATATTAAGATAGAGACTAAGTGAGCCATCTGACAATTATTTTCTACTGACAACTTTCAAGTTCAAAGCACTAAACCTCAAATTCGTCATAATGTTCAATAATTTTATTTTTAGATCTCTCCAACAACTTCACCTTAATTTGACACCAGCATATTTATGTCTTTGATCTTTGTAGAAAATACTAAAAAAATGGAGGCTTCTTACTGAAAAAGGGGGGTGATTCACAAAACTGCTTAGACAAAAAGTGTAAAAAGATGTAGATAAGCCTGGGCAACATGGCAAAATTCTGTCTCTACCAAATATACACAAATTAGCCAGGCGTGGTGGTGTATGCCTGTAGTCCCAGCTACTTGGAAGGCTGAGGTGGGAGGATTGCTTGAACCCAGGAGGTTGAGGCTGCAGTGAGCCACGAGCATACCACAGCACTCCAGCCTGGGTGACAGAGTGAGACCCTGTCTCGGAGCAAAAAAGAAAAGAAAAAGATGTACATAAACAGAATGATGCATTGAGTACTACAACGGCTGATGAGATCTGCCGGTGACTCAACAGGGTGGGGAACCTGCATGACGCTTCATTTATTTGTACCTCAATTTCCAACTGTCTACATCATTGGCTATTAGGAAAGGTGAGGACGATTGCTTTAAAGCACCACAGAAATATATGAATTAGCATATTTTGTCATAAGGCACACCCAATCTATTACATTTTCACATCAGTGTTCATCAATTTTTTCTTTCTCTCAAGCGAGATCGGGGAAAAGCCAAACCCTCAATCACACTTAAAACTGTAAATGACCTAAGGTCCAAAGCCTAAGAAATTCACACAAAAGCTGCTCAGACTCAGGAAAGAAAGATGAA